ATAATAATTTATATCAATATACCTATGATTTGTGTTAAAGTATTATGGGTGTTAGGGTTCCTCCCTCACTTCCCGTGACACTATTAAGTATTAAAACACCCCCGTAAAATGAATCCTAGATACGCCACTGCTATTATTAGATTAAAATTTAACACTYCTATHGGGAATAATTATATTGATCCACGCAGCATCTATGTACAGCAGAGATGAGGTACCCACTTGACCAGGCTTTTTTAAATTTATATTAATTTAAGGCCCGGAATTATATGCACTAAAAACGGAAAGGACGAAATTTAATAAAATGTAATATTCCCCCATAAATATTTGGCTATTTGCAGCGTGCCAGATCTAGAGCATTTAACGCCCGGGGCTAAGAAAAATGTAGCGCCCTTATATAGTTATATAGGGCGATTCTTTTATCCTTAAACACTCATCATTTTGTGAAGTATTGACTTTTTATCATTTTTTTTTTCAGTATATTTTGTTTCATGCTTTTCTCAAACTGTATGAAATTTTTATTTTTTTCACCCATTTATTTAATAGTGAAACCACTATCAATTTTTGATTTTCAAATAGCAACCCATATTTAAAGTGTACTAAATTAATTAGTTTATTTTTTTTTAAATTTTATCGTTCGAATTATCATTTTTGTTAATTTTTAGCGAGATATAGCTTTTCAAAATTGGGCGGTCTTCGTATTAGTATATTAATATAAAATTCAGTACTTGACACATAGAGCGCGTCCGAGTACTTTTAGGGGGCTATGTCGTCTACAATATTATCATTATTTGTCCCGTATTGTCATTTATAGTATTTGCTTACCTGCATATTGTATGTCATCAAAAATTGGATTTAGGAATTTTGAATTTTATTTGCATTTCCCCACTTCTCCTATGTCGGGTTCAGGATTCTTCGTGCTATCATCTAAGGCTCTGACCACGGTTTAAGATAGTACTATCTATATCCGTGCTCTGACCTAACCAGATGGTATGAAGTTAGAAACAATTATAGCTGAATGCTGATAGCGTTAGCGTATTATCAATCGTAATTTTCAGCCTTGAGGACAATTCTTTAATTTTATTTCAGAAAACTCCTTCAAAAGTTTATATTTCATTATTTTATTTACTGACGACTCGACAGTATTTATACGTATAAATATTTTTTATAAGATTTTCAGTATGAATTTAGCAATATTAACCAGGGCTGGTAAGAATTCATAGTTTTATTTTTTATTATAAAAATGTAAATTGAAATAGGTGAATTCGTGAATTTCAATGATAAAACTCAAAACTACATGTAACCAAAAATTATTTTCGGTATAATTGCAGTTTAGCTCTCTAGCGATTTTTTTTTTATTGAAACATGTATTTCAACGAGTTACCGGAGCCGGTAGGCAAAGGAAGCCACTTTACTTGATAATTTTGTTATTTAACTCTTAGCTCTGTTTTTACCTTGAAATTTAAGTAAAACCATTTGAATGCGAGAGTACTTCATGATACTCATCACAGAATCTACCTAGTTAATTTAATTATAATCCTAAAAAAAAAAAATTAAAACGTAATACGCATGCAGCGTGCGATAAAAATAATGTAAAAACACATACTTTGAAAGGCTATAACTTTCAAAATAATGGTTTGCACCAACTAATTTTTGCACCATCGTTCTTAACTCGTTGAAATACATATATTTCAATAAAAAAAATCAAAAAAAAATCGTTTGGGAGCTGAACTGCAATTGTTCTTTATTTTCTTATATGAATTTAAGTAAAATTATTCAATAAATATAAAAAACATCTTAAATTATAAATATTAATTTAACTTAAAATAAAGGTTTATTGTGTAAAGATTATGTACCAGTTGACCTGTTTTACCTTACCATTTATTATATTTTCATTATGTTCATTGTTGTTTCAGGTAATACAGTTTTGCGATCATCTACTCGGGTTAGGGTACCACTTAGATTGGCATCGCAAATCAATTATGTAAACGTCAACAGAGATGATGAATTTGAAAATATAAGTTGGGGAGCCATGACAGATCAAGCTATTTCCTATGCATTTGTTACTGAATTATGTAGAGGTAACTATAACTAACTCTTGTAAATTATTATGAGAATATAGGTTCTAAGGGTAAAATTTCTATCATTAAAAGTTTATTTAAATTAATTGCAATATACGTATAGGTACAAAAATTAATTATACCTACACGTTGCAGCGCTCCAATACAAATAAATGGATATATCATACCTATATATAAATTATATATTATAATTTGAAATTATAAATATCATGTAATATCTTTCATATTTTTTCGTGATATGTATGAATTTATTAAATAGATGTAATAATGTAACGTATATGTACTTAATACATAGTATGAGGACTTTAAATCAATAACGTAATATATGCTAAGAATTTGTTTTTGAGTTATTTAATATTTTGAAAAATCAAAAGTAAATTGTAAACAATATATTTCAATGAAAATGTAAACTTATATTCATCACTACTTGTGGAAAATTAAGTTAAATTTCCCTTTTGTTAAGACAAAAAAATCTAACATTAAATAAATGCTAGAATATTGTAAGAGTATGTCAGAGCACTATTTTTTTTTCTTTTTCAGACCTGCACACAGCATAGCAAATTTGCATTTAACATACCCAACCCCACGTTATTATTTTCAGGCACAGGCCTATGCCTGAGGTGGCATTTCTTTGGTTGTAGGCAGGGCCATATTTTGGGTAATATGTTGATACATATACTACAAAAACGAAAGGGCGGCAAATTTTGATTTGCCTATGTATACATTTTGTCTAGAGCCAGCCTTAATTATTTTTAGTATTAGAGTGAATTCAACTTATTATAAAACTTTAAGTTAAAATGGCGTGCTGATATCTCCTTCAGTTGCTGCAGTATATCAATAATATGTGCCAAGTGCCAAAGAAATAAAATTCAAGATTTTTTTAAACGTTTACCATGAAAATTAAACAAATCTTATTTTCTCTTAATTTATAATATCTATTTATTTTAAAGTTTAATTTGTAAAAAAAAATATTGAAGTATATAACAGTAATTTATTAATGCATTGTTGAAAAAATAGTATATGTGTATTGTGTACAATATATACGTATTTACCTTTTTAATCAGATCATAGTACTATCTATTATTTCATATTTGCAAATATTATTATGTATATTAACTTTACCTACTTATTTTAAGCTTATATATTATGTGCATATGTACTATACATAAATTGTTCATAAGGATTTAACGTTATAATAAATGAACTTACTCTGTTTTAATAAATGATGATGATGTCACTCTTATAAGATATTATAAATCGTGGCTATGATTACTCTAATATTAAATAGTATTAAAAATATTTCCCAGTATCCAAATTTTTATGTTTTCGAACTAGGTGTGTTCCAATTAGTTTAAATAATTGAGATTCTACTGGCGACGCATATTTGGATTTTATACTTGAATTACAGGCAATGGTGAATTATGTCCCTTTGATGGGGTACAAGATTTAACTTGTAAATTCGGTCTTCTGTACCTTAAACACTTGCAATATAGAGTAAAATTTCTGAAATAATTTTTGATTTTGCTGCATATGTGTCAATCATAGACAACAGAGCATTTACATAGTTGCAGTCAATCAGTGTAGGGTTTTAGGTACCCCTATGACCTATTTTAATATTTATGATTTTATAACCACATAAATTATATTTTAATTGATCAAATAGTGCATGTCAAAAAAATCAGCCTTCCCTCCTGAGAAAAGACTAAAATAATTTATTTTTAGGTGCTGCTGTATCATTGGCTCATTTTTTCAAGGAACCAGCCACTATCAACTATCCATTTGAGAAGGGACCCTTGTCACCACGTTTCCGAGGAGAACATGCTCTTAGACGTTACCCATCTGGCGAAGAGAGGTGCATTGCTTGTAAACTGTGTGAAGCTATATGTCCAGCCCAAGTAAAATTATTGTCATAATTATTAATGACATATTTTTTGTATGTATGTATTATGATTGTTATGTATGTTTTGCATAGGCTATCACAATCGAAGCAGAAGAAAGAGCTGATGGAAGTCGCCGTACAACTCGTTATGATATTGATATGACTAAATGTATATACTGTGGTTTTTGCCAAGAAGCATGTCCCGTAGATGCTATTGTTGAAGTAAAGTTTAATACAGTAATAATTTCATCAAACCATAGCTTATTATGTGGATACATTTTTTCAGGGTCCAAATTTTGAATACTCTACTGAAACTCATGAAGAACTTTTATATAATAAGGAAAAGTTATTAAATAATGGTGATAAATGGGAATCAGAAATTGCTGCTAACATACATGCTGATCATCTATACCGTTAATACTAATAATCAAAATAGTAAATATATGTGTTTAGTTTTCTTCATTATAAAAACAATATGTATTACATTAGTTATTTTACTACATGCTTAATACCTATAATTCTTCAAATAAAATGGACACAAATGTACAAAAATATAAAATAGATAAAAATATCAGTTATTGAAATCATATTGCTTATTGAGACTACTGTATTTATTTATTTTTATTATTAAATTTTTAAATAATATCCTTCACACTGTTATTGATTAAATAATAATAACCATAAATAAGAGTGTTGAGAGAGAGTAAGAGAGTAAAATCTCAAGTTAGGGAATTATTTCCTTGTTTTTATACTTAGGCAAAATAAAAACATTGCATCAGTATAAGTATAATTTACAATTTGACCTAATTATTTTAAAATAAGTAGTCGGCAGATATATTTTTTATCTAATTTAATTAATCATATTGTTTGTATCTTTGGGGCGATTATTTATGAGGCAAGTGAAGAAGCTAATTATAATTGAAAATTATAAAAACCTAGAGGAGCAATTGGATTGTCTTTATAATTAAATATCTCTTGAATCAATAGTGAACTAAAGGTCTTCTAAACATGATGTAGTGACTCATGATAGGTCCATTTTATTTTGTTGAACTTATAAATAAATAAATTGTTCATGTAACCTGGCATTAGTGTTTAAAATTTGTATAGGACATTCGCACATTTAACACAAAATTCTAAAAAATATATACTTAGAGTTATTTTTAAAAGACATTTAGTACAAATTTGTGCGAAATTAGATATTAAAAATATTTGTGAATACTTTAATATTATATCATTTTATTTTATACACACAAATACACAATAACATCTTCTATCTGAATTGTTTTACGTATAAAATAATTTTATATCATTGAATTCAAATTTAACCCATCCGTTAAAGCAACCCCTTTATACTCTGTTCACTGAGAGAACATGCTTATTCGGTGCATCTTTCTGGGTCATCTTGTTTTCAAAAACAATTCTCTTATGGCAGGTTGTCGCTTATGAGAAAATGAACAGATTATCGTCGGTCCACGGCATATTCTCTACTTCTCTTACTGAACAGACTATAGACATTAGACACATATTTTACAGACAACAACAGATTGGTACCCACTAGCCAGCTTTTTAGTATTGCTTGATACACTGTTGGCAATGCCTCGATTGTGTCACTGTATATTATATTGGTTGTGTTTATTTTTGTTTATTTGGTAATCACTATTTTTTTCTCAAACAAAAAGGTAAATAACACAATATATATTATGGGGAACAAAACTTTTAATTAAATGAGATCAAGTAAGTACCGCTCTGTTAYACATTGGTTGTTGTAATGTTGTGTGAGTTTAATGTATAATGTGTTCAATTTAAATAAAAATAAAAGAGTTACACCAAAAATCAAAATTGATTTTGTCAGTTACTGATTTTGTATAAAAATTCCAGTTTTTTATCAATTTTTTTTACGTTTTTCTCAGAGATTTCTAAAACTAAGGGGAATTTTCAATTTTGATCTCGAATACACCAACTAGATTAACTTACCCACCAGAAAATTCGATGGATTATTTCGAATACTCATCGTGTACTCGGACAAAAAAAACATATTGTTAAGTGAATTCATTTACCCCTTCGATCAGAATCTAAAAGTCTGTAGTCGGCACTTAAAATTTCAAAAAGACTATTGTTTACTGATAAGATAGTTGACCTGTAGGTATGACCGTAAATATTCATGAACAAATTGAAAACGTTAATAGATAGATTAACCTAACTTTTTCTTAGTTTCTTAACTGGATGTTTCATTTAAGTCTTTAAAAATAACGTATAGGAAAAAATTAACCTTAATATTAAAATAATTAATATAAGCACACGATACTTCACCTTTTATAAATTCTATCATTTTTAATAACTACCTAATCCAGATTAAGGGAAAGGCCACACATTGAACCGCCAAACAATTTCAAATTGTTTGATTTTAAAATATGCAGCCGCTTGATACGCGTTCACGCTTAGTGGTTCAGCAGTGGAAACTGAAAATGAAAAACCGACTGCGAGTCTGCGTTACATTGTGTGGCCAACGGCTAATATTTCAAATATTTGTAACTCGTTACTCGTGTTATCATTTATCAACAATCAATATAATATTTCAAACAATATTTATGTTTTATCTAATTTAATTAACCACATTCAAAACTCTAAAAATAGAAATTACGAAATTTACATTGAATTTATAAATTTATTATAATGTGTATGTTATATGAAAAAAATAAAAAAAATAGTTACAGTTTATTGTATCGTAATTACTGCTGTAGGTACCTTCCTCATTGATTATTAAAAAACAATTAACATAAAAACAAATGTTTTACTGTATTATACTCTGTATTTTATATCAAGAATTATTATTTTGTACGGACTAAATACAGATACGTCATATATGATCATTAAACAGTATAGCTATTGGTGGGTAACTAACAGGAAACAGGAAATCCGATAGCAGATGACAGTTGGGCAGTAAATTACTACCTACCTATTGTGTTACCTGCAGTTATAGGTGACAGGTGAATTCATTCGTGCGTTGACTCTTGAGTGCTTGGATGTGTAATGCTCATGTATAGAATATTAGTTTTTGAATTTATTCATAGTACGTGTTCTACTAGTTCGGTGCATATGCTTGATGTTTCATACCGCGTACGACTACGTTTCGAGTGTCTTATAAAATTATAATTATTACTTTCAAAATCAACTAAATTACTCATTATATTATAATAGAATTATTGTTTATACATTATTTCGTCCGTGATGGACGAAGATATACGATATCAACGCCTTCCCCAATCGTTCTCAGTTAGGGAACTCGGGTCTTCCGAGGCCAGGGGCTTATGGGGTATCAAACACACGCGGAAACCAGTCGATTTGATGGTAGCAAAAGCTAAAAGTTCGTCAACACCCTTACAGCCACAAGTCGAACTACGAATCACCGAAGACGGATGTGAAATAATCGGGGACAAATTTAAAAAAGTTTTTCCCATTCACACAGTTTCTTATGGGGTTCAAGTATGTATAATATACCTATTGTGCTTGTGTTATTATATAACTTCATGATGAACACACAATATTTATTTGTTTTTGATAAAAGTAAAAATAAATAAATGTCACTCTATAGGATTTGGTTTACACAAGAGTTTTCTGCATGATAGTTGTTAAAGAACAAATTACCACTGACAGAAAACCATTCGATTGTGTGGCATTTGTCTGTGAGAGTCGTCAAGCTGCGAGAAATTTGACTTATACATTAGCTACAGCGTTTCAAGTAATTTAATTTATATTAAGTAAATGCATAATAGTTGGTATATAAAAACCATGTGTTTTAAATTGTATGTAAATAGATAAAATAAAATAATATAAAAATGCTTGTACCTATATATTAATAGCTATTAGGTACATAAAATCAACAGTCAGTGGTGCATAGAATTATTTTTAAAAGCACGCTCAGTTAAAAAAAGTCACTCAACCGCCCAATTTTTTATTTATAAAAAATATTTTCACTTATTAATCACTGTAGTTCAAGGAAATTAATCATTATAGACTATAGTTTATGCTATAAATTTATAAGCTTCCCTGTGAAACATGCAGTTGTATACACCCACTCCCCTCGAGAACACATCCAGTTGCATTACTTGTTAATCTGCCTTATCAAGTGACATCGTATTGTGAAATATTTGTATTGAATGTATTGAATGTATTGTATAATTTGTTAATATAATTATTATTTATACTAGTTATCTGATAATTTATTGTAATAGGTATACATATTACATACTAATTACTRGTGTATAATATTATAATTTTAAAAAGTAATAAGCAGTACATTTTTATAATTTCTCATAATTCAAATAACAATGTAAAACCATTTAGGTATTAATAATCATGATAAAATAGATCTATTTTTTCATACCAACAATGTAGCCGTTATAAAAACTTATGTGTGCTACATTTTGATTTTTTGTCCCCATAAGATTTAAGATGTTTTTTTTATTCTGCCTTAATGCCTTTAATAGAATGCCTATTATATTATTATATTTTGTTAAAACTTAAAAGTAGATATAATATATTATTAAATTAATTTAAAATTAAGTTAAAAAACTAAATGGATAGTAATTTATAATTATTTATAGGCCTATAGCAGAAAAGTACGTAGTACTGGAACATCTAAATCACGCTTTGCCATTGATTTAAGAACTGCTGACGAACTAGAAATGGATCTTAGAAAAKTTGACTCTGAGGCTTAATATTGTCATATTTACCGGTTTATTTTAGGCTTAAGTGATTATAATATAATCATGTTAAAACTATAGATGCTTTTAAATTATGGATTGTATAAATTATAATATTATTTAATATTTTAAATAAAAATGCTTTAATAGTTGATATGTTATGCAATATGCGTTTTTAACTCAATATCTTATGAATAATTTTCTAGCAACCTTTTACTTATTTGTCTTAGTTGTAAACAAGATTAAAAACATAATTGTGGTGCTTATACATTTTAAATCAATAGTATTATTGAATAAACATTTTTTAAACTTGATATTTTATAATATTATACTTTAGAGTGGTTGTTGGTATTATTATTTATATTTGTAAATATGTTTTCAAAAGACTACCATTGTTAAAACATTGGTATATTATATTATATATTTATATTTAGTACACAAAAAAACAAACTAATTATTATACAATGAATCTAAAACCTACAAGAAGTTGCAGGTATGTTCAATCATTTTTACTGAAAAATAGAAACTTCTTTTATTTATGTAGTACAATAGTATCCCATAGTCTATACTAAAAATGTGTTACTATATTATTTGTCATAGTATTATTGTAATGTAATACATCATCAATGGTTCTCAACCATTTTATGTTTCTATGTTATGTTGGTTTAAGTGTGATATCTATAATAATAATGGTCTGTTTGGGTCTCTAAACCTGATACTAATTATAACAAAAATTTAAGAGATATTTTTAGTAAATAAATCTTGTAAACTTGGTTATTTTTCTATTCTTGTGTCTGATTGTTTTCAACATAGTCGCAATATTTAATTACAACATTAAACAGTGAGGATTTGAGGTATTACAATTCATTATCATACTGGTGAAGATGCCACGGTAGGTGCTTTATTTATTACATTGTAACTCACTCTGTAAGTTTTAGATATTTGAATATTTAAGAAAATGAAGATAATTATCGATTATTGACTTCCAAGTTATCATTGAAAATCATTATTAATAAAAAATTAATACCTATAAATTAAGCCTGATAGATTTTAGCTTTCTTTGGATGTATAACATACACACACATATGCAAAATATAAAAAAAAATATACTTAATTCAAAGCATACTGCTATTATTAACTCCATACGTTATAAAAACCAAAAGAATAATAAATAAAAAAAAAAAAAATAAAAGGCAAGTTACATGGGGATGTCCATACATCATCCGCAGGTCATGCATAAAAGAGGCATATCTAGGGAAGGGGTTGACACATACAAAAAGCATTAGAATTGGGAACATGACACCAAAATATCAAAATAAGTATAATTAACTGAATACGTATTTAAAAATAATTAAATTTTATGTTGATAGCACGTTGTGGTGTTCGAGAACAACAAAGTGAAAGAACAAAAATTCGAATACATTTCTGTTAGCCCGCTATTGACCATCGATGTACCGTTGTACTTACATATCGTTGTTCCGGAATGCTTTGAGGTCTCGAGGATATGCTCAGTCACAAACGTCGGAAAGGTTACTCAAAGTAATGATAACATTCAGGTCAGTCGTCGATACTTAATTGAGTCGCTTTGTTCAGGCGATCTGTTTGAGATCGGGTGGTGCGCATCTGTTGAAGAAAAGCAAGATATAACGAAGAAGAGTTCACCGAACGCAAACATCATCAACAACGACAGACTTGAGCAATCAATTTTTATGTTCGAATAGATATGTATGTCATTCAACGACGTTGACGCCACCGAGTCATCGGATTCGAGTACAGACTGGATGCGTTGTCGGACCGTTATAGCTGCACACCGGGCGGGCGCCCGTCGGACGCTCGCCTGGTGGAACTCGGAAGTCACTGGAACGTTGCCATCTGCGAGCTAGGTCCGTCTTACCGGTACAGCCGACTACTTCGTCAGAACGTAATTGCTTAAAATTTTTACGAATATACTATTTATTGTAGAACTTTTTATGTTGATAGCACGTTGTGGTGTTCGCGAACAACAAAGTGAAATAACAAAAATGCGAATAAATTTCTCTTACCCCGCTATTGCCCACCGGTGTACCGTTGTACTGTACGTGTATTGAGTAAGTTAATATAGAATTTTAGTAATAATAATAATTATTACAATAAAGGCTAGTTCAGCCATTGGTGCTTATTGAGTCACAATATTCTCAAGTATTGTTGTTCCGGAATGCTTTGAGGTCTCGAGGATATGCTCCGTCACAATCGTCGGAGTGGTTATTCAAAGTAATGATAGCCTGCAATTCAGTCGTCATATTATATTAATGACTTAATCATTTCTATTAATGTTTTTTATATGTGTATACTATTTAATTATATTTTACTATACACAATGAAAGCATCAAAAGTACCATTTACATTGCATTTATATTTCACCATTGTAAGATTTTATTTTCGGTTAGGTTATTTTATTGGTAGTATGAAAATTTAAAAAATATGGAACTTTTGATTAAATTTAAACATGAATTTTCATTTTTGATAAAATGGCTAACATACTCCCTTTATTTTTTATGACAATAATTAATTATTTTGAAGGTAAATTTGGTTTATATCCCCCAAATATGTATGAATACTAACTATACCATCACTAATGTTGAAAAGCTATAACTCAGGTTGAAAATACATTGCGTTACATATAATAAAATATAACCAACTTAATCTTAGAATTGTTAGTAATTCTATCAACGCCCTCCACAAAAATTGATTTGTGATTTTTACTATCTTTTTACAAATTACTGTAGATACATGAATTTTTCACTGAATGTTTATATTTGAATTTTTTTATACCTATACTTTATTAGTTTATTCCAAATCATTTTAAGTTATTTATAGACATTTAAAATTTTTAGTTTTTTGATTTTGATCGGAGCGAGGAATGTGTTGAGTTTACTATGATGTGTGTTTTTTTTTTATCTGTCATTATGTTTTGGGGTAATAAAGTGTTTCGATTTTTTTCTTAATAATGGGGATATACAAACTAAAATTTAAGGGAAAAACGGCGAATTTTTCGCATAAATAATATTTTACAAAATCGATTTTGTTTTTTAACGTAACTTGAGTTACGTATCTTAAAATAATGACTACATTTACATGAAAGTTTCACCGAATGTTAATATATGTATATTCTATTTACCATGCAATTTTCAAACTTTTCGACTTAAATTGAACATTTTCATAGGTATTTGAAATTTTCGATCATTATTAGTTTTTTTTTAAATTKATATCGATAAAAATGTATGTGTGTAAAAGCTTTAATATTTAATACTGGGCTCTTAACATAATTTTACAATAGCAGTTGAAAAATAAAAGAAATTCATAGTCACAATTTTTTTATAAATAATATAAAGTTTTAATTTTAACAAAATACTTAAAAATCACAAATATTCGAAAATTATCTTAAGCTAGAAATTCATAAAAAAATTATAAACTAAAAATTTATGAAATTGTGCAAATAAATTTGAGTTAGAATAATTTCATAAACCTAGGTTCCTTTTAAACCTAAGATTTGAAAATTTAATACATGGTTCTGCATTAATTCGTCTTTGTTTATTCAATACTTTTACCATACTTTTTTATAAATGCAGTTGAAAAATATTAAAAATACATAAAGGGTGTCCCAAAGAGATCTGACATTCTGACAAATGAAATTACTTTTGTTCTAATCAATATTTTTTAAAAATTTCTTTTAAATATAATCCACAGACACTTGCGCTACATTTTTAATTTTATTTTTTTAATACTGAAAATAAAAAACTTAAAAATTGATAAATTTTTTTTCGAAATATTCAATATTGCCAATTTGTAAATTTGATTTTCAGAAAAATGTAAAGTGTAAAAACACTTATTTAAGTCAAAAGGCTGATTTTTTACAATTTTTTTAAATATCAATATTTTCGTTAGGTAAATTATAGTAATTTATAGTTTATACATCACATATTATTAAAATAAATACAATAAAAAAATAATTAGATTTTAACATGCCCTTATTTAAAAATGTTTTTATAAAATATTTTTAAAAAACTATATTATTATTTGAAATTACAAGGTTTCTAACATTAACTAGATCGTAATTTACTTAACGAAAATATTGATATTTAAAAAAATGATAAAGCATCAGCCATTTGACTTAAATAAGTGATTTTACCATATAAATTTTTCTAAAAATCATATTTACAAATTGGCTATATTGAATATTTCGAAAACATTTTTTATCAATTTTTAAGTTTTTTATTTTCAGTATTAAAAAATAAAAAATAAAAAATGTATTCTAAAAATGTAGCGCAAGTGTCTATGAATTATATTTAAAAGAAATTTTTTTTTAAATATTGATTAGAACAAAAGTTATTTCATTTGTCAGAATGACAGATCTCTGTGGGACACCCTGTATAGGCACATATTTTTTATATACGCCAACCGGCTTTTACAAAAGAGTGAAAAGATAAATAATATAATATGACAACAAATAATGTATGGTTTATATGTTATATATATATACCTATAACTAGTAATAATATAAATATAAAAGTATATATAACAAGGTAAAGCAATATTAATTAAGACCAAAGTTCAAACTGAGTTGACAGACCTAAGCATTCTGTGCATTGGGTGGTTGTAGCTGATTGAAGTGAAATAAGTGGAAATGTAAAAAGGATTACAATTACGAATAATGTGAGAATATAAAAGTATTTTATAAACTTGAGATAATAGGTCAGGTACATGTATATATAATAGTTGAGAAGAGCTTGAATAAAATGAAAATTAATATAATTACGGCGTGAATATAAAAAAGGTATAATTACCATTTACCACATGGCTAATCTTGGAATAGTCACGATTCAAAGAAAGTAAATTAAGAATAAAAGCAGCGTGCGATATAAACTTATGATGAACACGCTCAAAACGTGACTGATCCTTTACAAGGTGAGGGTGCCAAACTATAACCCCATATAGTAGAGTATGGCCAGTATGGGTCGAACAAGAGCAAACCGTATTTATTAACGTTTTAAGTTCAAATTTATTAAATTTAAATTTTAAATTTATTTATGATTTAATAGAATATAAATTTTGATTACGCTATATTTTATATTTTATAACTTTAAGCTATTAAAAATTATTTGAACTTTTTTAATTTGTGACTTGTGTAGTTTACTCTCTGTCGAGAAATAAAAAACATTTTCTGTCATAACTTTGAAAATTTAATCGAAGTTTTTTCTAATATACTTTTACGACACTTGGATAGCATACTTTTCGTGACATTATACATCTATTTGAAGTCTAAAAAGCGCATAGGTATATAAGCCCTAAAAGAATATGAAATCCAACTTACTTTAAAGTAGGTATAAATATCAAATCTTTTGATGGAATCCATAATAAGGTGCGTACACTGGTACACTGCGACGCTGACGTCGGAACACTCGGAATTCTTCAGATACCTACTATAGTGTATACAGTTATATAAATAAGTTCCATAAGTTCTGTATTATATAGGTAGTCTGAAAATATGTTTTATTTTTAAAAAAACGTACGCGGAGTGCAGTACCTATGTTTTTTGTTTATGTCTGTTCTTTTTAATGAAATTTTAGAATCTTTAATCATCTACGTCTTCTGCAACGACTTTGGTAGTCACCATAGATTATAATATTATTATACTATAGCGATATGTTAAATCCAAAGATATTATTTTAAGTTTTTATACCAAAAAGATTCGACTTAATATTTGATCATTGGAAAAATGAAATGTGATATAACCATAGTCAAAAATAGTTTATAATTTAAATTATAACAACAATTAATATAAAATATTTTAATTATTTATTTTAAACATTTATTAATTTAATTATATTGATTAAAAATTAAAATGCAGTTTAAATATTAAAAGCACAAGTATATATATATATTTTTTATAAATTATTAAATAAATAATGTGCTATAAATAAATATGATTAACACAATAATATTTTTTAGATTTTAGAATTAAGATGAAGTTATACAGTGAATACACCAAACTTGTCGTACCGACTGTACTAACTATTAGTATACATATAGTATTGTATAGTTTGGAAAATTCTAAGTCAAAACATTTTCTCCCGAATACTGTCAAGTACAAAAATAATAATTAATATTTAATTGTATAGGGCCCAATACTAGTTACCGGTAAGTATATTTTATATTATTTTATATTAACTATTAAGCTATTCAAGAATATTTAAAACTTACAATTTCTTTTATTCATATTCGATAGGTACCTACATAATAATAAAATAACGTTTTCAGTAAAAAAAACCTAAAAATAATGTAGTACAAGTATACAACCTTCCTCTTAATATATTTGTTTTGATATTAGTTTCAATACACACAGAGTTGTTTTCAAAATATTTTATCTAATTTTCAGATTTTATTGAATAGTGCTTTCGCTTCACCATAAGATTCTTTTAAAAATTGTTTTTTAAAGGGTTAAATTGTAGGTAAAACAAATACTTTAAAAATAATGGATTTAGACTTAAGTTAAAATCTAAATGTTCAATGGTGATCAAATGAAAAGTTTTAAATTATTTATCAATGCGAAAAGTCGCTGTTGTAAAATGTACTCAGACTTACCTCTATTATTTTATTGACAGACCTGCACTGCAGGCAATAACTATCCACGGACCACAATATGTCTGTCGTCAAAATTTAGATAGGTATAACTTATAAATGAATAATAAATGAATAATAATATATTATTATAGTGAAAATATATTTTAAAGGTATAAATAATGTATAATATAAACCATGTTTTTAGCACAAGTTAATTCAACATAATATGTATTGGCACTTTTATACAGAAGCTACCAAAAGAAAAAAATTTAAACCTAAATTTAAAGCAGAGCGACTTTCCCGGCTCTTAAAAATTAAAATATTTTGCAGAATAGCTTTCTTTTGTGATTGGTTCACAACTAGCCGTAATCGTAATAATATTCATATAATTTATTATTCACTCGTTATTCGTATAAATCACCCCCCATCTTCGAATTTTTCACCAGACTTTAAGCTTTTTGTGGTGGAAGGGTAGAAATTAAATTTTAAATGTCAAGTAGGTACCTACTTATGATAAAAATTGTCAAATTTAACGGGACATAAGAATGGCGTTCATACATACTGGCGGTATGTCGTATGTAGTATGACTAATATGTACCTACATACAACACTAGGTACCTATTTATATTTTATTCATATCTAATTATATATTAAATATTTAAATATATTAATATTCCATGACATAGGTGTGCACAGTTATTGTCGTTTGTGCTTGCGTATTTTGTTTTAGATTTCCCGTGCCAATAAATATTTATTTTATTTTAAGACTAAAAATTAAAATATATATAAACCCTAAAAGAATAAGTTAATTATTAAACTTACGTTTTCATCGACTCTTCGAGTTAAATATATCTGTGTCGCATCTAAAGTGCAGACTCCATAACAAGAAACTGATTTCATAATAGACTTCATCCCATTCCGAACTGAAAGTATCGAGATATCTCGTAAAAATAAATTGAACTGAATGAAATGCGTGAGTAAATGTTGTATAGGTACTAAAGTAGAAATCGTTTTTGTTCATTGAAATAATTAGAATTGTGAATTGTCTCCGACGAATGACGGCGATTGGTGGACATTTGACCATAGATCATAGATATTATACAATATTATATCGTCATCAGTTTTAAAGTTTTTTACTTCTTTGAATGACACGATATGTTTTTTATATCATTCCAAAACAAAATATTATAACGCGGATTATTTAAATCAATACATTTACAACACGGAACTCTAAGTACCTATATTTACTGTCGTGAATACATAATTTATCGACACACACTTAATTTTATAATATTGGCAATAATATTTTTTTTAGCTTAAATTTAAAATTCTTATATACATTACTAATTAATATGAAATATTATCTATTTATCTATGCAAATCATCCAAATAACATCAAAATGACAAAATCAATCAGCCTGAATTATTATTAACTATTAATTATTTAATTATTTGCAATGATAACATTAGAATCAATACCTCACCCAAATATAAAATATAAAGACATTTTTCAATCCTTACATTATAAATATATAAAAATTAAAGAGTGAGTTACAATAATATAAAAAATTATATAATTAATTATAAACATATTTGTTACCTATAGTTCATCCTATTTTAGATTCAAGTTGTTTTGTCTTTTAAATATAGTATTGACATATTACAGATGATCTTCAAGACTTTAAATCTTGTGGCTTTGCTGCTTTTGTACCTCACTTTAAAAATTTAAATAATTTATAAATGATAATATCTAAATTACAAATTCTTATTATTTGCTTTAATTATATTTACTGAAAGTAGGAATGAATATTGTGTTTAGTTTGAAGTGATAAGATATAAGAAATTGCATACATTTATATGTTACAATGAGTGACATGTGTAAATATTTATACGATGCACAAAACATTTTATTATTATTTTTTTTTTGATGTATACCAACTTATAAGTTATATGCTTATCAGGCAGATAGATATTTTGCTCTACCGTTGCAAATATTGAAATTTCACCCCTGACCTACTGTAGTATAATTTTTAAAATTTTATCATCCTAAATTGCCAACAAATGATCAATTGTAACTTTTATTGTTTCTATAGGCATGAATTATTTAAATTCCAAAAATTGATAGTACTTACTAATTCTATATTTTTTTTGGCAATACTAACAACATAAATTATAATTAATTCATTGTAGGAGGTATTCAGTTGATCTAAAAATAAAATTTACATTTATTTTGTGTTTTCTCTGAAAATTTTTCTAAAGAGTGACATGATTAATCATATATTTGTTTTTGCTTAAAGCTGAAAAGTTATTGAATTAAACGAACTTGAGACATATTAAACCTTTTAATTTTTTTATTTATGATATAAAACATAGTTTTGTCCATTTCGATAAAAAATAAGGTAAATAAAAACATGCCATTAACAGTATAATAATAATGTTAATATTATTAATTTAACTTAAATAATATGTTTTGCTAACATAACATTCATACTTAATAAAATTAGGTAATAATAGCTAAGCGTGGGGAAAATAGGATATCATAATAAAAAGAATAATCTAGGGAAAATAAATATAAATATGAATTAAAAATACGTGAAATTTTACATACATAGAAAAATATTTAAAAAAAAATATATAAGTGAGGCTTTTAAAAATATTGTAAACAAAAATAAATAGGTAAGCATACAAAAGTATAATGTTTAATTGTTGAATTAAAATATAGCACCTAGAAAAGATTACATTTAAAGCTCAATTTTAACCTAATTAACAGATATTTTTTTCAGTACTAGGTATAGGTAAAAATAATTTTCAAAACAATTAATATCAATAAAAATTAATACTTTTTAACTAAAAATGTATGTATAAAATGTCTATAGATTTCTTGATAAATAAGTATAATTAATGTATCACTTAAACATAAAAAATCATAAAACATACATTTTTTTATATATATCAATAGTGTTGCTAAAAAGCGAATAACCTCAGTTTTTAAAACCACTAATACAAATTAATTTTTTACAAATATTTAGCAGAGCAATGTTTTAAAAATCACAAAAATGAAACACGATAAAAAATAATAATAAATCAAATTTTATAAAATAACTATAAGTTATGTTTTTTTTTTTTTTTTTTTTTTTTAGTAGATAATAAATCAAATCTAGGAAGTGGCCGTCTCAGTCTTTTTTGTGATAGAAGCTTTGGGTCTTCTGATTGGTCCTGGCATCGCAGGTGGTGCAACAGTTTTAGGTGCAGCCTTTGCTTTTGGAGGCAATTTTGGAGGCGCTAAACTCATTCTTGATGCTAAAGTGACAGGTGGCTTTGATGTAGTGGATGTTTTTGATACCTCACCATTAGTTAATTTTGAAGTTCCATTTGTTGTTACGCTAGTTAACGGTTTTTTTATTGGAGCAGAACTCGGACGGCTTAAAGGTTTAGGTGAACCATTAGTAAGTGGTTGCTTGTTAACTAGCGATGTCCTTGGTGTGACATTTGTTTTTGGTATTGTACTTGTTGGCTTTGATGTTGTTGTAGTTGTTTTAGGAGTTGTAGGAGTTTTAGGTGATGATAATGGGGTTGTTTTAGTTAAAGTTGTTCGTGGTGTAGTGGGTGTGGTTTTTGCTGATATTGGTCGGGATGCGGGAATTGTAGTTTTAAGGGCTGGCTTTGAAGCAGGTTTAGTGACAGTTGTTGCTTTCAATGACGTAGTTTTTGGAGCAGTTGATGGTCGGAAATTAGTTGTTGGCTTAGAAGTAGACATAGCAGTAGTTGGTCTTGATAATGGTTTTGACGTTGCTGTTGATGAAGTAGATTTTTTAATGGTAGAAGCTAATGGTTTTGAGGCAAGTGGTTTTGTTGGAGCAGTTTTTGCAGTTGTTGTCTTAGCTTTAGAAACAGCAGTCTCAATTTTTTTAGGTGTAGATTTCTTGGAAGCTAAACTGACACCAGTGACAGCTGCAATAGCAGCAGTACCAACAGCTGCAGCAACTGCAATTTCGGCAACCTAAAATTCAATAAATTATTATTAGTTAATTAAAAAATATATATAATTAATAGTTTAAAATGTGTTATATCAAGTATACCTTGTTACTCTCATTTTGGCTATCAACTTTTTCTACACTATCTTCTGGAGTTGGAATCGGTTCAGTTGTTTCTGCTTTGACTTCTATCTTTGGTTCACTTACCACTTTGTAGTTTAATTCAGTAACAATATCATTTTTATTTTGTATTTGTTCTACTAGTTTATTATCAACATTTGACTGTTCTTCAACTGTAGGCTTATTAGTAGATTGATCTAGTTGTGTGGTTTGTTGAACTTCCTCGTCAAAATAATCTGCACTTGTTTCCATTACGTACAACGAATCGCTCATATTTCTGTTCTGGAAATTTTCTTCAAATGTCATGCTAGTACACATCATATTGGATTCATTTATTAATGTATCGGATGCCGAACAGTATGGTTGTGGCATATTGTTTTCCACATCAGAATGAATTATCATTGATGAATGCATTTCTTCATCACTATCTGTTGTGGGATTTTGAATGGATTCATTACTGTGATTTTCTTGTCGCAAATCTTCATTGAGCTTCTTTACAATTTCATCAGTAATATCTTGTTCATGTTTGGAATTTTCRACATGATTGCTTTCGACTTCTAAAACACTTTGTTCTTGCTTAATATCTTGAGCATAATTTTTTTCAACTAAATCGACATTGTTATGTTCTTGTTTAAAACCTTCAACATCAGTATTTTCAAATTCTTCATTGTGTAAGCCTTGTTTGAAATTATCTTCTTGATTTAATTCCACTTCAGAAACATTATCCAGATATTTTTGCTTGAAATCATCAATAGGAATCTGTTCAGTTTTTTTGACATCTTCCAAACAATTTTTAACAGATTCAACAATTAACTGATTATCTTGGTTTGAATCTTCTGTATTATAACTAATCACATCAGCCACATTATTATATTTTTGACTAACATTTTCTGAGTCTCGAATAGATGAAACATCAAATTGATTGTCTTTTTGAACTTCAACATTTTCTTGTATTATTTTAGCAATATCATCATGTTCAACATATTCAGTATTCTTTGTTATTTCAAAATCTTCAACATGGTCTTGGACAAAATTAACGGTACTATTTTCATGTTTGGCATCTTGGATGAGTTCATCATTTACATGATTATGTTTTGGATCTATATCTTCATTTTGTAAAAAATTTATACTGTTATTCTCATATTCAAAATTGTTTGTATTATCATGTTGAAATTCTTGTTCGAAATCTTCTACATGCCTAACATCATCTATATGGATGTCAACTTCAGGTTCAAGATTCTCATTAACTTTTTCATGTTCTAAGTACTCATGTTTTATTTCTAGATGTCTATCAACAATATTGTGTGGTTCAAAATTATTAACATTATTATCATCAACCTCATGATTACTTGATTTGTTTTCAGTTGTGTTTAATAAAGCTTCATGAATGCTTGCTGAAAAATCGGATTCCGGTAAATACTGTTGTTCGTACGCAGAATGAAAAGGTTTAGCTACCTCTTTGATACACAAAGGTTCTTCTACAGGTTCATGTTTTAATAATTCGGATACCTGATGTTCATTTAAACTTTCATTAGGTAGGTTATTGTCAATATTGTGATGTATTTCATCAACTCCATTGTTTACTTCATGAATAACATTAGGTATTATTCCAGCAGGATCTTCAGTTTGTTCAAAACAGAAAGGATCATGATTTTCCTTGTCGTTATTTTCATCAAATTGATTAAACTGTGTTTGTTGTTTGAAGGCTTCAGGAAATTGATCGTCATCATTTTCAGACTCAAAAGTTGATTGATTATCCATACGCATTGGAGTATGAGGTTCTGAACCCAAAATAGCATCGGTTGTGCTCTCACTGTCATTCAATTTGCGATCTTCATACTGGACAAATTTATCAAGTTGACTACTATCCAAAAAGTCATTTTTAAAATCATCACTATGTTTAAAAGATTCTTCATCAAATTGTAAATTTGAACCAACTGTTGCATTAGTAGTATTAACTGTATCATCAATATTTTGTGAATTCATATCCTCTTCATGTTTTACCATTGTGAAATCACTATTTAATTCAATACTTGATTCATTTAGTAATTCATTATCACCACTAGTCAAATTAAATTCATCACAATAGGACTTATCCATTCCTGATACAAATGGACTTGCAAAGTGAGTTTGAGCATCATTATCATTCTGGTATTCAGACAAATCTTGAACTTTGTTTAAGTCAACTTTATCATTAGAAATAAATGGATTTTGATATTCATCTGAATTCCCATTGGTAATATTATGTTCATTTTGTAAAATTAGATCATTATCTGTTGTACTGTGATTAATCACTTCTTCATAATTCAGAGGATTAATACCATTCAGCATGGTTGAATCATCATTGGGCTCTGAAATTAAAATCAAAACTTCTAAGTTGTCTATCAATGCATTATACTCAGTATATAATAATTATTACTATACTAACAGTTTACAGTTCTACAGTTAAATAATTATAGTAAGAATTACAGTATATTTTTTAAAACCATGTATTTAATAGGTGGAATTATAKGATGTATCTAAACCTAAAATAATTTTATAAATAAATATATTAAGGTCATAACCAATTGTAGTATACATAAGATAAATTGAACTAATAATGCCATAATATAACATATTATCTATTTTATAACATTTTTTAGGTATGTTTATTTTTATGACATAATGTACCTATTATTTTTAAATTTTGAGTTTCTTAGAAATTTAACCAAAAATAACATTTTAACCAATAATATATTTTTAAAATAAAGATATTATAAATTGATTTTAGGTTATTAGGATTGATTGAAATGTTGATGTTTTGCTACATTCTTTAAACTTTTAATTTAAAATTACATAAACTAAATCAATAGCTATATCAAAAATAACCAACATACTAAAACAAATTTTTGTTTAAAACATGTTACTAAAGCAAAATGTATGTTATATTTAATTATTTGGTATGTAACTTATATGATAAATAAAATGTATGTAATAAAATTCAGTTATCTATAACCTACAATTTGTCATTTTAAATTACTTTCCACTTTAAAATACAATAGTAGTATAATATCTATTTAACAGTAACCTAATATTAAGTTTAATAATTTTTAATTTTTTAACAATTTATAAATACAAATTAAATTAAATGTTAAATAACTATTACCATAAGGGTTGTTGAGCTTAGACAAGTCTGCTGCATGCACTTTAATTTCATTGGTGAAGTCATTCTCGTCAGGCACAACTACATTGTCTAAATCTTTAAACTTTTGAGGTGATGAAGATATAAAATCATCATTATCCGTGTTAAGGAGACGTTGCGCATGGTTCATTGTAGATGCTGGTGGTGAAGATACTGGCACAAACTCTGGGGCGTCTGGATTCAGTTTGTAATCCATGTCCTCGGCCTAAAATAATTGGAAGATTATTTTGTAAAAAAAATAAGTATTCAATTATATTTGTCTGTTAATAGGTTAATTAATGTCAATAAAGATAAAGCGACGTTAAAGCATAATAATTATATTGTATATTAGCAGGTAATCAACTATTGTAATTACGATACTTATCGTATGACTCATTTAGTAAATAATATTTCTTTACGTCAGAATTATTGCTTATGCTGTTGACGTCCTCTTCGTTCGCCTTTTTTTCTATGTCTTCAATTGGTTTTTTGTGGTAATTCCATCCACCACCGTCTTCTTCGGATTCTCCTCCACTTTCGTCAATTACGCAGGATTCTCCTTCTACTGTTAACATTAAACATGAATGATAAAATTAAACATATAGCAGCTTTGTAAACCTTTTTTATACATCTAAAACACGTTGTTTGTTACAAAACTAAATATAATTCTGCTCAAGAATATTTCATAAATTTTAAATTCAATACTTTGTACAATATTTGTAAGAAAATGTAATTAGATAATAAACTTAAAATAAATGCATCTGATTTACTTTAGTACTTTCTATAGTGTCTAGTCTCTAGTTATTAGGAGGTCCATCTAATTTATGTTCACTCAAATATAATCTAATAACATGTAACCAATTTCTATATTAAGAAACTCTCAAGCTTTGTGATAATACAGAAGTTGTAAGTTGTAACATATAAGTATGGTAAAGGATTATTCTATAAATATTAGGTAGTATGTAATGTACTTTAGTTATGTCTTGAAGAACATGATAAAATAATATAAAATATAAACCTGTATAGGTATAATAACAAACCCACGCGATATTATTCAAAACATATTAAAATATTATTGTCAATTATCATTTATCATAACCGATATTAGCAAGTACAAACCATTATATTTATAACATCATTAGCTATAAATCAGATATATAATATTAATAAATGTTATGAAGGATAACTTCATGCGCACACTCCTTGCTGAGTCGCGGAAGCCTATGAAAGACTTGTCTAGAATCAACCAATGGTAGTTTATTCAGATAGAGATTTAATTAAGACCCGGCCTGTTGAAGTTATTAGTCAGTGGGTCTTCATTATTATTTTTCTCGTGTAAACTATTTTTTTGAAAACTATCAATATAATAAAATTGTAATGAGGCGTAATCAATTTCAAATCTGAAAATGATGTTTTATTTTTATTTTTGGTGTGTGTAGCCGGTAAGTATAGTCGAAATATTGTTTTTCAGTTGTAGCATCTTATCTGATGGGAAAGTGAATTTAACTCTATGTTTACTCTATGATTTAACTGATATATTCAATAGGGTCAATATTTAAAATTTGCAGTAGTTCTCAAAATTAAAAAAGGATGCCAGCGCACTATTTGTCTTCTCTCCCTCTGGCCCACGCTCAACATAGCCAAAATGCATTTACGCAGAATATTTTTTTCCATGTTTTTAAGTAACCTTAGATTAAAATCACAAATAACAAAAAATATAGAGAATAATATTTTTGAGGGAAAGGGAATGAATGTTTGTTATTCATAATTATTGTTATTTGATTTTATATTCTACTTTCAAAATAAACAAAAAACATATCATAAATTTAAATGATGTTTAAATTGTTTTGAGACAATATTTAGATAAATCGATATGACTTCATTCCCTCAAAAATATTATCCTCTATTTTTTTTTGTAATGGGTGATTTTACTCTAAGATAACTTAAAAACAGAAAAAATGATTTTGCTTGAATACGTTTTATTTATGTTGAGGGTGGGGCAGAGAAAGAAAACAATAGAGCACTGACATCCACTTAAGGAAAAACGGGATTTTTTACAAGAAATTTAGGTTTTAGAACAAAATAGATTATTTTTTTTTAATGTAACTAAAAAAAAAGACCGCATATGGTTGAAATGTTCATTAAATGTTTATATTAGAACTTTCTATACACCATAGAATTTTCAAAATATTATAAATCATGTTGACCTATTTATAAGAATATGAAATTTTCGATTTTTATTAGTTTTATTTTAACTACCTAATGTTGATAAAATAAATTATAATACAAGATTCATCATCATCATAAAAAAAAGTCGTGCATAAATTCCCAATATTGTTAATGATACAATAATAAAGTATACATTTTGATAAAATTACCTAATAAAAAGGATCCACGGTGGAACTTCCGCGTAAGCAACTTATTCTGTAGCCAAAAAATGTAATTTCTAATAGTAAAATACATTAATTTAATCACAACAATATCATAAAATATACCTGCTATTATAGGTATTAATATTATAGACTGACAGGCAGTCTTCGCTCAGAATGATTTAAGATCATTGATTTCAAATTTAACACATCCGACATCCATTACAGTGACTCTCTACTCTCTAGACACCTTATGTACAACACAGCGTTACCCACTTACCCATTTTTTAAAAGTATGTATATTTTAGTGTGGATACTGATGGTAATTATGAGTTTTCAATGGTCTCTTCATTCTTTGTTGAACATTTTATCATTAAATTAATCTACGCTGAATAAAATTATAATGCATAAAATCATATATTATTACTACAATACTAAAAAATAATGTAAAAATTAAAATTTAATGTATGTGTATATATACACTGATTATTATAAATACTGGATAGAAAACCTTTCCGAATAAATAATGAAAATTCGATACATAATTTTCAACCAGATTGACAACTCAAGTTCAAATTCAATACAAACATTGATTGATATAATAGTACTCATTGTGCGCTATAAAAATAGTATAAATTTTAAGCGTTATGAATTATGAACTATGTCAAAAGGATGTATATTAGTTATGAACAGTAAAAAGTAGTTTTTATATTTGGCATGGTGATTGCTCAGCTCTAAAAATTGATGTAGAAAACGTAGTATCATTCGGGATTTATATAAAAAGCAAGGTAGTGGACATAGAGTCAAAGTACAACAGGATTCATTTATGATACTCATTATTACGAACATTTTTTATATTTATACAATATTTTATCGTTATCATTTTTCAAGTTTTTTTTGCATTTTTTCAGGAAGTTTACTTTTTAATTTCATATTCCTAAGGAGAATAACTTCAGATTGGCGGAGTATTTCGTTACAAACAAATCAAGTTTCAAACGAGTACTTAGTTAATTAGTTATCACTTTGTGAGTTGTGCACATTTAATTTGAAGGTAAGATTAAACAATGCTTATTAGGTAACATACTAACATATCTATGTTTTCTTTGCAGATGATACTTTCAAATGAACAACTAATGGGGTATTTTTAAAACACAATGTTTGTCATTTGTGACAGACAGTGAACAAATTACGTACGTTAAATAAGCATCGCCATTATATTTTATGTAACTAAAAAGTTTTGGTCAATAAATATTTTTCAGAAAATGCTTTAAGTCTTATCAGATTTGAACTCAAAATCAGATGTCAATCCATATCCTATTAACGCACTTCGTAAATGAAAAATAGAGTCGATAAATTAGTTGGTATGGAAAATCTTACAACAAATTAGTTGTTCAGTGAAATAGTACAATAACAAAGTCAGTAGACCATAAATAATAATTATTGATTGTACCTATGTTTCAAACAAACAATACAATCGTTAACTCTATTTTGTCATATTTGGATAGTTGCATAATGTTGTAACGTCACGTTACCAACGTTACATTACCTCATAGCAATAGATTTATCATACAACAATAATTACTACCCAATGAAATATTTCAACTGTGGTTGAAATTAGAGATTAATACAATATTATTTTAAGGAATTAAATTTATTCTTGATAAAAATATTTGCAAGGCATAGTGAAAATAAGCATTATAAACAATAATGATTCATAGGTAAAGAGAAAAGCAAATATTTTTGAATGACTAATTTGTAAAAATAACAATTTATTAACTGTGTACCAGTGTACATATTATGCACTATTTATAAATAACATAATATAATATAATGTATAAATTATTTGTCGTTTTATTGAATGCTAAGCTATACATAATACTTAATTACTACTTTACTCGTAGGAATTTTTTATTTTAGTAATCCTTTTTTAATCATATTTTTAAATTAACTCTAAGCAAAAAATAAATTAATAAATATACAGTAAAAATGTACCTGAATATCTGCTAATGATATATTATAATACATTTCAGTAAATATTATTATAAATTGTTTAATCGATGTTGTAGACACAAATACCGTTTATTAATAAAAAAAACAATTTATATTTTAAATTAAAAGAAACACCGAAAAAAATAAATATTTTTAATGAGTAACAGATACCTACTACAAAGTGTAAGTATAAAGGGCAACAACGCAGCCACCACACATAACTACGAATGGGCCAGAAATAAAATAACAGATCGTTTTCCTTCACATTTTGTGTCAGTGGTTACCATTATTGAAGTTTACCGTTAACATATTTGATCTTATAAAATAAAAATTACAGACCACTGAAAAAATTTTCGATTCATAAAATTAATGTTTATTAACTAGAATCTAGATCATTGATATTATTCCACCTACAGTTTAATCCCACACAACATGATTTAGTTGAGTTATATGGAGATTATCAAAGTATAAAAACATTTCAAATTCAAAACACGATTTACGAAATATATAGGCTCTATGTAAAATAATTGTCGATAACGCATAATATTTAAAATATTATATACAGAAAAGAAAAGCAAAACTTACAACCTAAAATATCGAGCTAAATATACATATACCAACCAAGTACTTAGTACCTATGTCCTATATAATATATAATGTATTAGAAATCAATATGTTAAAATATCATGCATAGGTAGACAATTTTATAGATATCTTGTGTTATAGAAAAGTATTTTTTAAATATCATAAGCAATAAATACCTAATATTACATTACGTTGATTAAATTGTATATCTTAGATAAAAACTAGTTCAGTTGTTCATAAGATAAATGAAATTGTTTTACCTACATTTTTTGAGCAATATTACTATCGATAGTAACGAGTAATTATTCTCCCTCTATACCCAACCAAATGCGATATCACACCATCTAATAATTATCAACAAGAAATCCTACTTATTGTAACCTAATTAGGAATAGATTGCTACCAATATAAATAAAAATGCAACCATTTTTTAATTTTTTATTGGGATTTTATGACGTTTGGTGAAAAATAAGTTCCTATATATAGCCTACGTTAATAAATAGAAAGCGATAGAGTCAAGTACAGATATATTTTTTTTATTCGATTAGATATAACTAATTATTATTTATCATTTTAATCAAAAATTGTGGCATCATTTCAGAATTCGATAGAGATGAGAGTCTAGAGTATTGACCAGCACAAAATCAAAAAAAAAAACAATCTTACATATAATATATATGTGTCTATATATTAGAACATAAAAACTATAAATATTTTGTATTGGTGAGATACTAATATCCTAATACTTGCATAACATTATAAATCCAAAATTATAAAAATAGTTATGCTTTCGTCAGCAACCATTGGACTGCTTTTAAAATAATACAGGGGGAAATGCCAATCTAGGTCTACATTTTTTTCACTTGTGATATCACAACTGAGGTTGGAAACACGATAGTATAATTTCTATCTCAGTTGAATCATTTAATCGCACCCCTGATCCTACTTAAATCATGACACAATTGATAAAAAAGCATCAATAGGTATCAGATATGTTATTTAGTTGTAACTTACTAGTTCATATTGATTTATTTAATATTAATAATATTAGTATCCATTCGATTTCAAAAAAAAAACAAATCGTCTTTAAAAATGTGTACATAAAAGAAAAAACTATAGTGCATTAGACGATAAACTTGCTTTCATACTTAATCCCTTTGAAAAGACATAATATGTTTTAAGTATATAGCACGTGTTAAGAAGGGAAAGCAAAAATTATATTATATTCCACTTCCATAGATGTCAACCGTTAACTGGTAGACCCCTTAATCGCCACGCGGACAGAAAAGGGGAAATGCAATTTTTCACTCATTACACCAACGATAACATCGCCCTACCGGCGCCGGGATTCTTTTGTTAGGGGGAGTATATGTCGAATAAGGCAAATAGATGAGGGTTGATTTTAAATACGTATTACACATTAATGAAGAATATCAGCGAAAAAAATATATCCTTATATGCAACACAAAATATACGTACTACTAAGTATATGTGAATATACGTGTACGATTGAATCAGTATTTGTGCAGACCGTGAAATCATTATGAACGCGACTAGAGTAGGTGGTTCAACGACCCGGGCAGGGAAAATGGGGGGCAACTAAGGGGGGGATAACATTAAGGATAACAATGAGACCGAAACGAATTTGAACCGGAGCGGAGTTAGGAAAACACTGACCACTGAGAAGAGAATATTATTATTAAAGTCTGGCATCAATGCATACAACTACTACAATGGGAACTACTGGTCGTCATCATTAACTCAAGAAAAATGTGTTCTATGATGCACAGGAATTTAGTAAGGTTAGATTCTTACTTCCATACCTATTCAACATACATGAAATAACTAAATATTTTTGAAAGCTCATAAAATACCTTATAAATAAGCTAATAAAATAAGATTTTTAAATACTAAAATTTAACTTCTTTCACAATTTCATTTATTTGCATACTTTTTGACATTACTGATTCCAACTATTGTTTATAGGTATTTATAGGTATTAATAAATATATAATATATAAGTATAATCCTACGCCGAGGTGAGTGGATTCAGACGAGTAATTTAACTCAATTTTTGTTGAATTCGATCCAATTTTTTTACTTTGTATAAAACAAAATTGTACCTATAGTTGTGAAATGTGCATAAACAATTAATGTTAGAATATCAAATATTTTTCATAAATTGAGAATCTCAATATAAAATTGAAACAATTAAGAATAACAAATATCATACTTAATTATATAAACACCCATATGAAATATTGTGACTTTACAAGGAAATGTTATCTTTCATATAGGTATAGTTTTAATGTTGTATTGGAGGTGATTAAATATTTTTGAAAATTTAATGGTTATGTCGGTTATGAGAAAACGTAACTATTTAATGTATTTTGGATATGGTTATGTTATGAAGAATTAAGATCCACGAATCATGACGTCCATTAGTACTTAAGCATTTTATCACGTCTTTATATTTGAAGGACAAATTAAATAAATAACTTTTGTTTACTATTATTCATGGTTATTATTGCTATTACTTAGCTATTACTTATTAGTTATTAGTTATTGGTCTATATATATATATATATCCCATTGTTAATTAGAAACCAACAACCATATAGGTAATATACTAATAAGTAATAATGATATTCATATTTTTAAAATAATGAAATCAAAAAATTACTATCTATAGGTAACCTAAAAGAAAATATATTAATTCCATAAAATAAGAGATAGTTATGTTATGTAATTTTCATATATTTTATATTATATATAAATGTAAATTTGAGAAACTATTTTTGTGTTTCAATCGTTTGTTTTTATTATTAAAAGTTAGTACCTGTACGGTACAAACTCTTCTGACATAATCAGTCGACGGTTTTATCGATATGTACTAACAGTAATTTGATGTCGGTACACACACTATTAACAGCGAGTTAAACTATATTTTATCAACATACCTTTAGGTTTGGTCAAACCGATTGGCTCGTCGGGTGTGTCTACATCAGTTTCGGGGCCAAAATCACCAGTGTCTTGACCGTACGACGCGAGCGTTTCAGTTGCGTTTCTTGGTTCCATAGCTGTTTCCATTATAACAGCCCTTCTTTTGGCTACTAACTGCTTGGGATCCTGTAGAAACACTGCAATCACTGATATATTATCCTTAGATCCTTGTGCCTTAGATTTGAAAACAAGCTTATTGCAAACTTCAGATATATCACCTATAATGAAAAACAATAAGTACATTGTGTAATTATTATTTATGAAATTGCAATATATCTATTTCAAATATACAATAAATACGAACAGAATGGATAAATAATATATAAATCGGGATGACAAATGAAATGCCGACCACTAAACATAGTCATCCGTCGTTTTCATTATTTTTCGAAAATCAAAAAATCTACTATACCTAAGACAGACTACCTAACAATCAGATGTTTATTCTCAACTTATTTTTTTCTTAAAAAGTGAATATTAACAATTTGCAAAGATTTTTTAAATAAAAATTAACTAATTTATTATTATAATAAAAGTATAAAAAAATTATTTGAATTATTAATACTTTGTTATATAGGAGTTAAAAATATTGTTCAGAAAATTAAGTAATTTTATTGAAAAAAGTAATTTATGCTAACTATAACTTTTAAATGGATAAATAATACTCCAATGGATAAGTAGACCAACGGCAACTTTGACAATATATTAATTAGTTAACAACCATAGCATATTAAAGGAAATATATGTAATTAGTCGTGTTTTATTATGCTTAACACTTAAATGAATATTTGCATCATTAAAAACATAATTTATCAAAATGAATGTCAAGATATTATTATTAAGCGTGTTATTAAGTTATTTTTCTGATAATTAAACCTTATTAAGTTTTCTGATAATTGATACTTATTAGGTATTCTAATTTTCATTTAAACTTACATTTAAGACGTTTATTCTGAAATTAGTCACACTTAAATGCACAATACATTTAGAACGATGTTAGACGGTGTCKGCAAAAACGTAAACCTCAAATGTTGGTAAAACAGTTTAAGAAAATATGATGAGTATTCATAAATTAAAAGGTGTGTTAAATTAATGCAATATAAATGATTAATAATTGTAAATTTTCCTTTACCAACATTGTTTTCGTCAAAATTATAAAAATACTTAACAATATATTTTCAGTAATTTTTTTTAATTAGACTCATCATTACATTTTAAAATAAGTGTCATTCTAATATTTAAACTTCCTTAATTTATGTCGTATATATGAATGATACTATAAACTTAGAATTTTTAACTGAACGAAAAACGAGTTTTTGGTGAAATCGATTTTCTTTTTCTTTTTCCAGAGGAATAACCTCGAAGGCTTCACATTTTCACATAATATTTGAACTTATAGATTTGATATAACTGATATAAATTATAAAATTATAGGTAGACATTTAAATGTTCTACTTTTTAGTTTTTTTTTTTCTATACAAATGGTATGTTTTTTTATCAAAAACTTGAAAAATTAATTACGCAGATCTCCTCAGTCATATTTTTTTAAACTATGAAGTTAATATTTTCATCAACATTGTTATTCATAGCTAATATAACGAATATATCGAGTAATTAAGATGTAATTWAAAAAAATAAATACCTAATAATAATAATGTAGAAACTTGAAACATTTTAATGCTGTGAATTAAAGGCTATAAGCTTATAAAGTTATAAGACATGTTATAATAATGATGAAGATAACCTACCTAGTGAATTCAGAAAATATACTAATAATTACGAATAATTAAACTAATATTATAAAGAAAAGATATCCTTAAAAATAGATGATGCTGAACCACACATTTCTTTTACTCAGAATTGTTTTTTTCGTATGGTATACCAATAAATTCAAATACAAGTCATATTAATTTCAAGGACTTACTCAAAATCTATATATATATATATAAGCAGATCAAGTCAAATTTTCAGATTTTAATATTTCAATTTGAACTCATAGAAACGCATTTCTAATATTGACTACAATATTCACTTAACGTAATTATGAATCACAATAGTCAATAATATAATTATAATAAGTGTAGCGTATAATCTAATATTTATTAATATGTTAAATAAATTTAAAGTATTACATCTATTTAAGTATTATACAATTTATATTGTTTTATAATACATTTCGGAACGTATCGAAAAATAAACACATAAAAGTCACAAGGGTGTGCGCTAAACAAACTTCCGTGTATATCGTATCGTACTATTAATATTATATCTTATTTTTGTTGGTCAACGATATGGTATTTTAAAAGAGGGTGCAGATATTTTATGGACTCCATTTTACTGTTAAATAAAATTGTATAATATTCTAATTTTCTCTAGGGAAATTTCTCATATTTCTTTATATTCAATTAAATATTAAAACATAAAATAAACTGCTGAACTACATCAAAATAAACCTAATATTGAATAATTGGAAAATGTTTTTATTTCTCATATTTTTATAAATTTATAATTTCTATGCTTCTCGATACATTTGTAATATTTGTAATATTTGTAATATTTGTAATATCCAAGCTTGAGTGTCTATATAATATTCTGTGCAATGCAGTTCTGCATACAAATGTATCTAATACGTTTGTGGACAGATTAGATATTAAATTATTAAAATATTATTTATATTATTTTCACAAACATTAACATGTTACAACAGTATTAAAATGTATCGCATTTGAATATTGTTTAGTTAATGTCTGCTGATGGCGTTAAACAGTTAATAATTTAAGACCTTTTTTCATTTACAAATGCATAAAAAAAAAAAACTGTAATAGATACCTAGTGTAACACTAAATAATATTTTGCAAAAATATTCAGTTTAAAATGGGGTTTTTATACACGTGTCCACGAGGGGCTTGTAAATTGTAATTAGATAGGTAATATATTTGTGGAATTGTATTTTTTTTTTACTCCCATCAAAATGGCCATGGGATATTTTGTTTTAAGCTTAATATAATAGCAATAACAACTTTCCTTTTAAAGTAAAAATATACCTAAAAGTAATAATTCAAAATATTTATTCTTATTTGTCTTAAATCAAAAATAATTTTTGTCTGAAAAATAATAAAAACAGAAAAGTCAGTCTAATGATCTATATCAATGCATACAAAAAAGATTATGAGCGAAACATGATTTGTCAGCCTTCATATATCTAAGGATATTTTATAATATATTTATATCACTTATAACTTATAAATAGTTTATTTCCCCTCCTCATTTTTATATTACTATTCTGTAGGTTTAACTTATTCTTGTTTTGTATTGTTTTATATTTTGAATTCATGAACCAATTCAAAAACCAAAGCATATAATATAATATAAGGAATATCACATTCATAAAATATTATTATTAACCTTTAACCTAAGTCAATACTGATGCACGTATCATAAAAAATATAGAGAATAGGTTCATGGTATAAACAGCTTAGAATTAGAGTTGATATATTAAAAACTTTAATATGCATATAATCTAATAAGTAACAACATTTTTGAATTACAAAAATAAATAAAATCGTTATTTATTGTTAAAATATCCAATTTCGTCTTTATACTATTTAAACTTCAAACTCCTGCACAAAAAAACATCGTCTATTTATAATCAATATTATTAAATTGGTATAGGAAAAACTAAAAATTTAGCAAACGAAATTGAAAATGTACATGTAATTTTAACTATAAAGTAATTCGTATATTTTGCAATTTTTTCAACATTTAAATGCTAAAAAAATTACTGTAGGTACATATAACATAATATGTGCTGTCGATATTATCAAATAGTAATAAGAAAACTTATTGTTAAATTTCAAATAAATATAAGAAACAAMTATATCTATAACATCAACTGCCGAGCTTTGTTTTTAGTGGTAATTTAAAATAACACATAAGACAGGAATACCGGCAAATGGTGTTCCAGCTTGTTGCGATTTGGCAGCAGACAGTCACAGGGCGTTTGCTCGGGAATATTGATCCTGTAGTCGTACGTAGTAGTTATTATACTCGTGGTGGGCTACGCCCTGTAGACGACGTCTGGATCAGCGAAAAATAATGACACGTTGAAAATAAAAAGTTCAAATAAAAATTGTACATGATTAACTTCAATCACATTCAATGGTAGGCATAAGTTATTTAGATTCAACAGAATAAATAAAATAAATATGTTTTAAAAGTTAAAATCGAGGTTAAAATAAAATACAAGGTATTTTAACTATTTATTTTGGAAGGTAAAGGTAGAATACCTATTTAAACTTTTTTCAAATATTTTTTTACGTTTAATATATTTAAGTTATTTCTATTAGATTATTTGAATCAAAAAATAGTTTATAACAAAAATTCGAAATGTTATACGTATTTTTTTTTATATAAATTCACCACAGAATATGTAAATTATATTTTCTAAAATGTACCATGTACCTACCATAATATATATTGTACACAATTCATATATTTTATGGTTAAACACCAACTTAAATTTATAAGATCTATTATCACTATGTACCTATTGTACCTATAAGAAACTGAAGAAGCTTTCGTGATACTTTTTGTTTTCTACAAAAAACAAAAAAAAATGTTAAAAGAGAAACTGTAAAAAATGCCTCCATATACACATTTTTCTTTGAAATTAATTTTTGGATTTTTAAAATTTTATTTTTATTTTAAACAGTTAGGTATAGGCAGAAACGTACATTTGTAATTATATTTAACTAATAGACTACTAACCTAACCACGAAGTAAAACCATACAATAGTACTCGAAGCTCTACACTTTGCTCCGACCAATTATCGCTAAGTATTATTTTCATTGAATAAAATAAACGATTATAATAATACTCGTAATAATATTATAATTATTGTTAAACAGCCCGAAGAATACGAGCAGGCAGTCGTTTCAAGCGACTATATTACTCAAAACCATACTAATATATACAAATAATAATAATGTTGAGCTCTTAATTAAAAAAAATAATAAATAATGATAGATATAAACTACGTTCCACGTTCATGGTGTGTATGTATACTCATTTGTGTAGTAACATACGGTATGTTACTACCATTATTCATATTTAATCTCGTATTTAATGTTATGTTATAAAATATAATACGAGTATTAACATTTAAAAAACATACTTCTTCAATGTTTACGTCAAATTAGTAAAAACGGCCAATATATT